AATAATTCTTGTACATAATTGTACATAATGTCTACATTTTAGTAGTATATACAATTTTTCGAAAGTTGACATCGACCGGAAATTGACTATCTATCCGACTAATATGATGAAGTGATAGAGAGCGAGAGAGAGAGAGCTGAAAACACAAAGATGTGAGATTTGTCTTTTTGTATCATTTTATTTTGACAGTGGCAAGTGCTTCGAGGGGTTTTCAAACAAAAAGATCAAAATGTAAATATCAATTGGAACACAAGTTTCGGTAAAGCAAAAGAACTTTTTCACGCTCGAATTTCATAGACGAAGTAAAGTGAAAATGGTTGTTTTGATGTTGATAACTGTTGAAATATTAGGAAATTAAATTAATTAATGGAATTTTACTAATTTTAGTACAATGAATACGACACTTTTCGACAGAACCGAATTATGGTAATGTGACATATTCAAACGAAGAAACCGCAACGAATGAACTCTTGCTGCGCTCAACCATTCATTCGTCGATATTTTGGGTTGCAATTAATCAAGCAACGTAAGTGCTCAGTCGATTCGAAACGAAACTGTCGACAAGAATTTGTGTTTGACACAAATTAGTGAGCCTTACCCTTTTAGCAATTCCAATCGCATGAGGCAAATGGAATTCAGCAGTTGTCACTTAAACTCAGAGCAATATATATGGGGATGAGTGCTCTGAAGAGGCAGAGAAGCACTGAGAAACAAAATGTTGAAAGGTAAAAACTTTTAATATTTTGCGCATCTTTGAGCGCTCTTCATCGCTCTGTGAAACAGTCTCTGCTGGAAGTAGGTTTGATAATTGCCATTAACTGTTTCGAACATACAGTGGTTTTGCATAATTTTGTGGTTTTGGTTAGAATTTCAATATTTCATCCCGTCCGCTTCGACTAGAATGTATAGCAGCAAGAATCTATTCAGTGTTGCTAATTTATTAAGAATCCATTTAATTATCTTAAATTTTGGTTCAACATACAGTTCTTATTTTTTTTCTGTGAGTTTCGTATGAATATTTGTTTGCGACGCGTCTTTTTTGCATCGAAAATACTCTTGAGCAGCCAACTTTACGCTTCGTAAAATGATGAGAAACTACATATTAGCAACTGTTCGAACAATTTTGTTATTAACACTTTGAAAATTGCGTTCATGGGGAGTGTTATCACCTTTTTTTGTTGCTGCAAACATAGCATCGAAATCGGTTAAAAAGCTTAGCTAACACTTGTAAAGAGGTTACAAGTCAACAATGACTGAATAGAGATTATCGCGTATTTTTTGCCATCAGAGAGTCTTTTGCATTTCCATGTGCTTTTGCCCGCTTTTGCACAATAGGTTGACGACACGTGTGATCTCCGGATGACCTTTACACATTCAAAGTTATGGTTGCAGAATTACCTTGTGCTTGAGCTGTGCTGCTGCTGTTGCGTTTTGTTACGCCAAGTCTGGCCCATTTCTAATACTAATAAGTATTTTATGCACTTTATTACTACCCAAATAGCACATTCACCGCGTGCATGTACATTGTACAGTGTACAAGTCGTGTGTAATGTATACATATAACATTACAATATATAAAAGAGTTATAGTTTAAATCCCACGGCGACAGTGTCCCGCATAATATGCTATATCATGACATAAAACATGACTGAACAGCATAACTGTTCCCCTTTTGTCGATGTATTTTCCATTTCTTTTTATATTGTTGTTCATAATGATGAGTGGAAAATTTCTTGAAGCGATTCTTTTATTTGCATTATGCGTGTGTATCTGGCACTAATCGAAATGTATCATTGCATTATTGTGCTGTCTCTCGCGCTCTTTACCTTCTGAGCATAGATAATAAAAATGTCACGCTGGAGACTGAATAGAATCAAGAGCTGATATGATGAGGATGAACCGAATGCACGTTTTTGTATTTATCTCAAGACAGCGATCTGTCTAGACGGACTAACACCATCATCACAGTCAAATCTGACTATATCAATTGCACTTGAGAACAAAATAAAAATGTGCCGAACCGCCGCCAGTTCAAATATTGAAAAAGCAAAAAT